GGGGGGGGGGGGGGGGGGGGGGGGGGGGGGGTCAGAGAGAAGAGAGGAGAGAAGGGATCCAAAGGCGGGTTAGGGGGGGAAATGAGGGTAGGGTTTGGGGTTTGGTACATTAAAAGAGGCCAGTTGAATCAACGGCCAAGATTAGATTTAGGCAGGGCGGGTACTTGGGTTTGGGTATGGGTAGTTGGGCTTGGGTATTGGGTTATGGGATATGATAATTGGGTTGGCTAGTATTGGGCTGGGAGGTCCGGAAATTTAATTAAAAAGGGCTATGTTTTAATTACCCACTTAAATCAATAAAATAATTTATAAAAATAATTAATAAATGATAAAAATGTTATTTGTATATGAAAATGATTTAAAATAATTACTTAATATTATAAAAATAGAAAAAGTTCATTTTCCGTGTAAATAATATAATTATGCATATATGGGCTATTATTGCAAAGTTATTGCAATTATAGCCTAAAGATACAAATAAAATTATGCATAAAATGATTAAAGCTTAATATAAATATAAATGATAAAACTCAAGTAATAAATTATTATAAAATTATTTGTGATGCAATTAGTAACTATTTAGATAATAAAATGCTAGAATAAATTAATTAAAATCCTTTTAAAATTACAGAAAATTATGGGAAAATACTGGTTGATGCTCATGCACTATTTTCAAAGTATATATATATATTTTAAAAATATATATGAGGAAAAAATTGGGTATCAACATCCTTTCCCTATGAGTTCTTCCGTTTAATATTTTAGGGCTATTTTGATATATTAATATTGTATTTATGGTTTTATAATAATATAGTCTCTCATTTTTCTAAATGGATTTGGAAAACATAATACATTCTCAAATTAAATTAGTAACAGGACATTATAATACGTTTTCAAATTAAATTAGCAATAGGATTTTTTAAGAAGTATATCCTAAAAGTAATAGGATTAAATGACTAAAGATATTTACTTGTTCAATTTTATATGAATTAGACAGCCCGAGAATAATTATGCCAATAGGATTACTAAATG